CCTTCTCATGATGTGCTCAAAGTAAGACAGCCTCAGTTTCATCATTGTTGCCTCCAGAGATACTTCAGGCTTGATTTGATCTAGGATTCACTTGTTTGTTTACCCTGGCAGTACAGATAAGCTCAAAGCTCTTCTCCAGCATCATTTTTCTTGCTGCCTTCTACCTTTCCCAGCACTATTGTCTTTTCCAGAGAATCCTGCCTTCTCATGATGTGCTCAAAGTAAGACAGCCTCAGTTTCATCATTGTTGCCTCCAGAGATACTTCAGGCTTGATTTGATCTAGGATTCACTTGTTTGTTTACCCTGGCAGTACAGATAAGCTCAAAGCTCTTCTCCAGCATCATTTTTCAAACAAATCATGTTTATCTTGGCAGTACAGACAACCTCAAAGCTCTTCTCCAGCATCATTTTTCAAACAAATCAATGCTTTTCCTGTCAGCTTTCTTTCCTTTGCAGCTTTCACACCCATACATAGTGATCGGGAATACAAGAGTGTGGATAATCTTGGTCTTGTTCTACCATAGCACATCCTTATACCTGGTGATCTTTTATAATTCCTTCATTGTTGCCCTTCCAAGTCTCACTCTTCTGATTTCTTGACTACAGTCTCCATCTGGATTGATGATTGAAACAAGGCATACAAAATCTCTAACTATTTCAGTTTCTTCATTGTTGACACTAAAGTTGTGCAGTTCTTCTGTAGTCATGATTTTTGTCTTCTTAATGTTCAGCTGCAACCTTGCTTTAAATTTAAATTAATCAGAAATGTTGTCTAAATTATATTTTGGCACTACAATTCTTTAAGTGTTCTTTTTCATCTTTACCCTAATATTGGATAATCAGTACCATAATCTGTTCCTTGTTTAGGCAGAGAGAATACAGCTTCTCCATATCCTGCTTCCAATTACATGGTCTATTTGATTTCTATATTGACTATTTGGTTATGTCCATGTGTACAGCTGTCTGTTCGGTTACTTGAAGAATATATTTGCTATTCATACTTGCCATTTGCTTTCTCTGGTAGCTGATTGAGTGCTTTCTGACCTGGGAGAGTGACATTTTCAACTTTCTCATCATAGTGTTTTCATGGTAACGAAAGTTCAGCAAGGGTTTACCATTACCACCTTCTGGGCAGTACTAATGAAAGTCAGCTTGAGTGTTACCATCACTGCCGCCTCTACTAATGTCACCTTCAGCTATGACTGCTACCCAGTAGCTGCCTTGAAAAGGGTAGATGCATCTTAGTCTGGTGCTTCAGCTGTGACCATTCCACCTTGAGTGACCCTGCTAGATGCTCAGGTTCGTAACTGGGTCTGGTCTCCTCACAGCATTGCTCTCAGGTTCACTGACACATTTACACCCCTTCAACACATCAAGCTGAGCATCCAAGAAGGGAGTTACGAGTCTAGGTATTTGTTTTCCCAATTTTTGTTATTTCAGTAGTCTAAAGCAATGGAGGGGGAGTAATTTTGTTGTTGCTACTGTTGAAATCGACTCTTGTAGATCCACCGCAAATCGGCCAGAGATCTACCAGCAACCTTTGAACTAAAGTAACAGGAAATACTCTGCCTTTCAGATCCCCAAATTATTAATATAAGGTAAGCAACAAGTAATGCCATCATTTTATATATCATCCTTGGATTATGTTTTCAAAAACCTTATATTCAGAATGATGACTTGCAGATCTGTTCAAATTAATCCTGCAACCCTTCGCACATTTACTTGGGAGTAAGTCTCAGCGGGACTTATGTCTGAGTAAATCTGTATGGCATTGTGTTATAAATTAAATTAATGGATTATTCAACCTAAAGCTCATCCATTTAAGTTGTCAGCAGAAGGATATTTAACCATTAGGACATCATGTGGCTTCCACCATTTTTTTCTACTACAAACTGGAGATATGTGAAACTGCTAGTTTTTGTTCCACTTAGTTTCTGATTTTCCTAACTGCAGCAACAGATGCAAATTTACATCCACTTTAACAGTTCTCCTAATAAAGATATTTACGTTCATCATGATTCTGATGTGTTCATTTTTTACAAGTAAGCTCCTATAGCTGCATTTCCCACCACGCTTTCCATCAAGTATATACAGATGGTTCTGTGCACTTTGTGAGTTGTGAACTTTATCACACATTTCTGAAATGTGTGGATTTTGGAGTGCAAGTGCTTTCTAGTTCACCTACATGGACTAAAGTTGCTAAATGGTTTACTTCATATAAAATTTTGAATGGAACATATTTCTCCACCAGACCTACCACAAGTCTCCTTCTCCCAAGCTGTATTGAACCATGGAGAAAATAACTCAGTCTCTTTGCCAAGCCACTGCATAACTATGGCTTGACCTGCATCGGCAGTGATTTTTTTACAAATCTCTTGATTATGAACACATGAGATACTCCATCACCAAAGTTTATACCAAATAAGGCTGTGGGTATTGATGAAATAAAAAAAAAAACCACAGAGTGACATTGGGAAAAGCAGCTCCCAAATATTCTAACAGCCTTCTGGGGAAAACCATTTTAACAACACAAGCCTTTACATGCCTACTCAAAAATAAGTTCCGGCACATTCATTGCCATTCATTCTCAGATAAAGTGGGAATAGGTTTTAGTGCTGTAGTCACACATACATTTATTTAGCGGATGACCTCTTTAATGTTCTTGAAACTGTACGAGCACACTGCGCCATATGTTGTAATTTGGATTTTGGAGATGATCACAGTGCAAGACAAGATGCCCACTGAATTACTGGGCCCAGAACTACAGCAACTGCCATGTAAATGGTTTACCAAGAATGCTACCCCCTCCTGGGAGGTTGCTCTGCCACCCCTTGGAGTGAGTGAGGACAATTTCTGGATAACTCCGTGGTTTAGGCATCTGGTTGCAGAGCCGGAGGTTGGGAGTTAAATTCCCCACTGTGCTGCCGTGACAGGGGCTGGACTGATGATTGATAGGGTCCCTTCCAGCTCTGCCGTTCTGTGATGATGATAAATGCAAGGTAAGTAAGAATTACCTGTGTTTAGCCAATAAAGGAAAGTGGATGCATACTTTAAAAGGCAGATCTGACCTAATCTGGGCCTTCTCGATCAGCAAGGCATCCATTATGGTTGTTGTTGCCCAGCAGAAAGCTGTTGGATGATTCTTTTTATCTTATGGAAGAATGGGGTGTCTACATGTAGCTCTTATTTACTTGGGGTGCATGACAGATTTCTATCACTCAGGCATAAACTGCTATCACTTGCGAGCTACAGTTCATTCATTCTCAATAGCAAACCAACAAGCAAGCAAACAAACACATTTAGGACCAATAGAAAAGAAAAGGCCACAATAGATTACTTTTCGCCATCCGGCAACTACTTGTCTTGGCCCTGTTCTCATTGTCATTAAGATATACAGTATAATCCATGTGAACTGACTCCTAAACCTAACTCTAATCCAAACCACATGTTAACTCAATATACTGAAATTCTCCCCGGAGTCAAAAAGTAACCCACAATTCATCCAGTGTGCACTTTCAAAAAATCCTGGTGCATGAGGGTAAAAGCAACAGATGGACATATACCATTACAATCTTTACAGCAACTAGCTTGATATACAGTAGTTCCCAAATCCTGTTACAATAAATGGAAACACACACAGAGAGAGACACAGACACAGACACACACACAAAATGCCACACTGAACTTAGACTTGGTTAGAGCTCCCCCATGTGGCTGATTCTGTTGTACATCACTGCTTCCATTAATGAATTTAAATTCCGCAATATACTGTATTCAGAATACAGTACATTTATTTACGAACAAATCCCTTGCTGTTAGTAGGCCCTCCTTCCAAGCAAATATACCAAGCAAAATCTTTGATAGCCTAAGAGATAGAAAACAGGACAAAAAGATGTAGCAGCTTTACTGACGCTCAGCTGATTTCTTGCATTGTTGTCTGATTTCTGAGATTTGGTGGACACTAGAAACTACAAGCAACTTAAAACAGTGGTCATTGTTGTCCTATTTAACCCAATAAACACATAGTGTGATACCAAAAAGAAAAAAAGAGGGTAAAGAAATGCTACTTCTTTAGCTGATAATAAATCTTGCTAAAATAAAAAAAAAATATTTTGACCAAATGTAAATAAAACTGGGTTGTAAAACTGTAATGTTTGCTTTAAGGAAAATCTCTCAGAAATCATTAGGCTATTATGCAATGAAAAGTCATTAGGGCAGTCCTGTAAAATGAGTTTCTCTTGTTTAAGATTACTGATTTTTTAAAATCCGGTTTAATTGAGCTGCAGATCAAGCTATTTGACATTTATATATATTTATGCCCATGACATTTTCTGATTGGAATCTAAAACTTCTACTTATCTTAAAGAATGACTTGATATTGCATACCTAATTTTCTTTTAAATATAGTACAAGCACTCAGTTTACTCAGAAAACACATGGAAGAAATGTTAGCCTCCATAATCTACCTGGAAGACAGTCTATTCACTCATTGATATTTCCAATCACAGATCAGCCTGGAATTAGATCAGACCAACCCACCCAAAGTGTGATGTGCATCCTCTGTGTCTCACTATCACTGCTGAATTCTCCCCTGCCTCCACTGAATGGGGGCGGGGGAATAAGGGGCTTTCACACCATCGCCTCTCCCAAAGGTCCAGGAGTTGCTGCTTCTGCACTTTGAGTGGTGATGTGAAAGTTATCAATGATCTTGACAGAAGTTGCTGGAAAAGAAAGGACTCTGCCCCACACTTACAATCCCAAAGGAACTTCCACGGCTTTGTAGACTTGAGCAGGACCATGGGATGGAGGTGAGGTCAAAGCCCCTCTGCCACCCGAGGCATTCTGAGCCTCTTGTACCCACAATATCTGCGTCTGAGAATTCAGCCAAAACCAACATTCATCCATCATACAAAAGCAATTGTGCACCATTGGGTTAGATCAATCAATACTGAACATTGGTTTGCTTATAGGGGAATAAAAATGAATGAAAGCTTCTCACCTTTGGGCAATTCCTTGAAAATCAATAGTGCTTCTGGGAAACGTGTATTCCAACTGTCCTCTTCTATCCCTCTGTTTTTTGTTTTTGTTTTTTTAGAACGACAGCTGGGGAATATAAATGCTTTTTGTATATCCACTCACAAACCTTCATTTCATAACTGAATTGACCTTCTCCAGACAATTTTATGGGCATTGTTCTGCTTTCTTTCACAGTTCCTTTGTCCCTTAATTCACAGGTGATATCTTTATAAACATCCAACTCAAGAGATGCATTTCCATTTGCTGTTTGTGCTTTTGCATTTTCTTATGCCAACCTTCTTGGAGATTTTCCATTACAGACCTGATGGATCCAAATCGCTTTTCCTTTCCATTTTCTTCCAGCAATTGCTTTCATTTCCTTGCAGGCTGAAGACACTGGTTTCTTTTCAATCAGGAATGTTAAGTGCATTAGATTTTAACTATTGTGCCACTTGTCTGCTAGAACTGTAGACAGGCCTCTCTGAAATGTCAGAGCAAACTGTGACCTGGAAATTTTGGAAGGTGATCCATCGTTTATTACCACATTTTACACCATTACTGATTCATGGAGATAGTTAGCAAAATGTCCATCACGTGTTGTGGAAAACATACATGTACGGGTATGTGTCGTAAATGATTACGTCCACCTAATTGCATTTTGCTCCCCATTTCTACTAAGACTGGAGATGGAGGTATGTGAGAATCCTCTTTGGAACACCATTTTAGTTTTCCTATCTATTCACTTGTTCATTTTCAATCACTGTCCTGCCTGGAATTCCTTCAGATCCTTCCCCAAGATAAGTACTTATGCAATTATGAATGACAGTACAAAGAATGGAAGTACAAAACAGGACATATTCACTTCTTTACAGAAGCAGTTTACTGCCTGCGTAGCAGGGAACCAAAATATACTCACTTCATCTGAATGAGTGAACTGCTTTTCATGTAAAGCTGAAGTTGTTTTGAGCAGCAAAAATTAGGCTTCCTTCAGAGAAACCAATACATATTAATAATTTTCTTTTTTGGCTTTCATCTTTGACTGTCCTAATACTAGTCTGTAAAAAGTTATATAGAGTTACACTTGTCAGGAGATCAGACTTCACTTCAAAATAAAATCCACACAAGTATTTCCTCTTCTTTATAAAAATGCTTGAAAAGATGAAATCTTCAGTCTTTAATATCAAAATACAGAATGCAGTTTAGTTTCTTGAAATGGCAATGTCATTTCCCTCTGCAGTCTTGGCAACCACGGTTATATTGTTCGACAAGAGCAGGGGTGGTAGCTTTCTTTTTTGACTGAAATAAGAAAACAACATGCAAAAAGAAGCAGTTCATTTAAAAAGAGCACTTTGAGGAAAGATCTCTCTCTCTCATAAACACATTGGACTCAACTGCAATGCCCTACTGAGGTGTACAGGGATGAACTGAACTTATTCTCTGATGTGAACAAAACATTCAGAAGGACTAGTGTGGTGTGGCAACTGGAATTTGGACAAGGACTCAGAAGACTTGAGTTCAAATTCCCACACCACCATGAAACTCAAAGGAATGACCTTGGGCTCACCATACTTCTCTCAACCTTTTTTTTATTAGGCTAACGTAGGGGGAGAAAAGAGCCTTGTATGCCTGCTTGAGCTCAATGGAGGGGAAGTGGGCTAAAATTCATCAAATCCTGATGACAAGAGAAAGGACAAGCTGGAAAATATTGGCTGCTACACATGCTTGTGATATGATTATTCTAGGAAAAAACTTGTTGCTATAATATTGCTATCCTTACTATACTATTGTCTAGGAACAATATTATTACTAATAAAAGTTATACAAGGTGTTGACAGTGCAACTGTTTGCATGTTTCCCAAGAAATGAAATCTCGGAGTGTTCACTGGGACTTATTTCCAGGTGTCTGTCAGTATTAGTGTACAGTGGTGCCTCGCTTAACGACGATAATCCGTTCCAGGAAAATCGCTGTTAAGCAAAAACATTGTAAAGCGAAAAAAAAAAACCCACTGAAACGCATTGAAACCCATTCAATGCGTTCCAATGGGGTAAAAACTCACTGTCCAGTGAAGATCCTCCATATGGCAGCCATCTTCGCTGCCTGTATAGCGAGGAATCCTGTCCCTAAACACAGCGGGGAGCCATTCTAATTACCCAGCGGCCATTTTGAAACCACCGATAAGCTGTTCTAAAAACATCGTTTTGCGAAGAATTGGTTCCTGAAGCAGGGAACCGATCATCGCAAAGCGAAATTCCCCCATTTAGACCATCGTTTTGCTATCGCAATTGCGATCGCAAAAAGATCGTTGTAAAGCAGATTCGTCATAATGTGGGGCAATCATTAAGCGAGGCACCACTGTATAAGCATTATTTTAATAATAGAGTTCCTGTATTCAGCATTTACATAGACATTTATGGTGTGGAATTTGCAGTCGGAAAGCAGAGTTTATTGGCATCTTCAGGGGGAAAAAAACGTTCCTTTTTGACCATAAAATGCTCTGGAGAATTTTTTCAGGTACTTCTTCATATAGAGAAAAACTACATGCTGCATTATGCCCTCAATATAGTGATTCAGAGAGACCAGAGCTGGGATTGAAAGCAGTGCAGAAACAAGTAACAGAGAAACAGGATACTTACCTCTTGCAAGTGTTTTGGTGTACTATGACCAAAGAATGAAGGCTAAAGAGAAAAATAAAAACAAAAATAAAAACTGGAAAAAAAGAGAGGAAAAAGCAGGGGAAAGGAAAATGGAGAGAGAAAGAAAAAGGAATTTATAGTTTGCTTAGTAAGAAACAAGCAGTGAGTTCAGTGTACAGCAAGACAGTGTACATAAACAACTGTAAATTTACCTATTTCAACAGAATAGGTACAGTGTGTGCAAGTGAAAAAGAGTGTGAATGTGGTCCTCCCTTCCCTTGTCTAAAAATCCCAGAAGAATGCAGCCTATGGGATAAAGAGTTGAAGCCAAAGGGATCATAATCTGACAGGAAAACAAATCTAATCCATCTTTAAAACATGAGAAAGGAAACTCCACCCCACGCAGCTAAATTGGCCTGAGTGGGTCCTGAGCTCCTGACTGGCTTTACCTGCCTTGTCTTCTTCCCGTTGAGGAAAAGAAGACTGGGTGATGCTTTCCAGGCTGATGTGCTATAGGAATGCTCCCTGTAACTGGATGTCTGAGGCCTGAAAACAGTTTTGGTGCCCTGTCCCAGCTTTTTAATAAAGGAGAAGGAAGAAGGAAGCAAAGCTAGGTCTGGAAGCCCTACCTGGCTGGGGAACATGTGATGGCATGACTCTATTTGATGTCATCCAGTGTGTGCAGGCGGCCAGGGGGCAGGGATCTGGTTTCGTATACCAGCTTATTTCCCCACTCTTGTATTAGGACAACCCTCTATTCCTGCAATCTCCCACATTTGTTACTAAGAATGTAAGAAACAATTACTGAGCACATCAAGACACTGTGCAAAGCATCTCATAATCTTACCATTGGAGAGAAAATTTTTTAAAAAATTCATTCTTGCCTGAGAGAATGAGTAAAGGGAAGATTTACATCTCTATTTGTTACTCATATCTTGTCTAGGTCTATTATTATAACTCAATATTTCACCCACATATTTGATGACCACACATACAAATAATTTCTGAAGTCTACAGCAACTCCACGATTATTTAAAATTCCATTCATTACACAAGCCTTTCACTACAATACGAATTGCTGCACACTGCTGGTGGGTTTAGATTACTAGCGGCCATGTTGGCAAGGAAGGATGGGGGCTGCTATAGAACACACTTGGATGTCACCAGGTCGGGGTAGTCTGACCTCAAAAGACAGTCCCATTATTCTTGCCAGGCTGGTGTGGTTCCATCATCTTTTTCCCCTCAGAGAGATGAGAACATGTTCTCTTAAGTATTTACACCTTGCCTTGCCTTTTTTAAAAGATTGCTAAAGACTGGACCCTTGATCTGTGGCCTGTTATACACCTGTGGCCATTTTTTCAGGCAAGCGTTCAAACTACAAAAGAGCCATATGGAGGAAAGTGCAGAACATGAGGCGTTTCCCCTCAGCATGTCATTTTTTTAAATTTAAGAATATATATGCACTAGAACGATATAAATGAGAGGTTTTGTCATCAAACCATCAGTTTCTAACTTGAGGGAGCAAAAACTCCACATTCACATAACTGTCCCTTTCTTCCAACTCCAGAATGGATGGTCACCATCACATGCTTAACTGAATGCCTCCTGTCACAATCAAAATACTTTCTCTTTCTAACCAAGCAATTAGTAAAACAACGTGCATTAAATGAGGCTGCCCTAGGTTGCAACATACACATCTTTCATTCAATATTTTCAATCTTATTGCCATACCTTTTCTTCTAATTCCTTTATTTGTCTTTTTTGAGCTTCAATTCTTTCTTCTAGCTCCTTAATTCTCTATGGAAATGAAAATTAAAAATGAATGCTATATTTTGTGTGGAAATATTTTACCTAAAAGACATGACTGGAAACACCAGAAGAGAACGTTTTTAACAGTGTCCTGTAGAGAATGCCACCCATACTAGCTGAAAACTGTAGTGAGGAAAACCTATATACCAGATAGCGAAGCCTCCCACCTAGTGATTAAACATGGTAGTACAGGCTCCTAAAATACCAACATACAGTATTTTAATTAATTAAACTCCATTAATGGCCAGAATCCAGTTGAATATTTAACCCTGCATAAATGCAGTGGCATGACTTGGAGCAGTGAATAAATGCTAATTAATGAGTCCCCAATCAAACTCCTAGCGACACCGTGAGTCATGCAACTGGTATGCTACTAGGAATTAAAAGGAGGACTCATTTAACTAGCAGCTACTTGCAAGTTATGCCACTGTACTTACACAGACCAAAAAAAAACAAAAAAAAATTCATCTGGATTCTGGACATCATATATTCTTATGGGGGAAAAGTAAGCTCCAGGTGCACCCTTCAGGATTCTCTTAGTATGCATGCACATTTGCAGATATGGAGGGATCACGGTCTTACAGCTACAGTTCTGACCAACAGAGAGAGCGAACTTATATTTTTACGTGGGATATGATTTTCAGTGGAAGATTTATATACACTACTCCCTTCAACAATGCTGGAGTTAGGCACACTGGACCCTTGCATATTTCAAAATTTGTGTGTAATTCTTAAGCTCCCCCCCCCAAAAAAAGCTAGAAAGCATAAAGTCGATTAACACGTGCAAACACGGAGAGAGACTTCCGCCACCCCACATCAGCCTTCTAGGATGCCTCATAGCCCTCCCAGGCTGCCATGTGGAGCTCTCATGCCAAGAGAAGGGGCCATCTGGGCCACCACCATTGGACCATGGTGTGTGTGTGCTGCTCTCCCAGCAACAGTAAGTCCGAGACCCACCTTTCTCATGCCACTTCCTGAAGACAAATATGTCTGTTATGTGTGATCAAGTTGGAACTGACTTATAGACACCCTGACAGGGCTTTCAAGTAAAGTGAGATATTTAAGGCATGGTTTTGCCCTCAGTAAGTTTCCATAGCTGAGTGGGGATCCGAACCATGTTCTCTAGAGTCCCAGTCCATCACTCTATCCACTACACCACACTGGGAATCATATGGAGACAAATAGCAGCACAGTATTTACAGAATATTTATTTATTTGTTTGCCTATTGGGGGAAATCTGTATATAACCAAAACCGTACTGCTTAGACTTGTGCAATTCAAGGGAGTACTATAAACTAGTCTGCACAATGTGATATCATCCCACGGATATCTATGTCCATTACAAGAATCTATAGAGGTTTTTTTTGTTTGTGCATGTGTGTGTTTATTGGAAGAATCTATACAGGTTCTAGAGCAGCTATAAGTAGAAGGGCCCTCTCTATTCAATGGGCATCCAAGTCCATCTTGGGGTGATGTCTCTTCTCTCTCCCACAACCACTTCCTTAAATGGAAGTCTCTGTCATTGCATTCTGTTTTAGAAGGACAGTAGAAAAGAAATGTGGACAAAAGGAAGATTCATAGTCCACATCTCACAGGTTTTTAACCGATCGAAGAAGTTCTCTCATCAGCATTGTATCCTTTCCCACTATACCTGCTGTGCATGTTGAATGAGTTCCATTCTTTCCCGGAGGATCTGGGAATCCCGTTCTCTGAGTTCACTCATCACCTGCCTCTTCCACTGTTCTACAGCATTCTTCAGCTTCTCCCTCTCCTCTTCTGAAAGCATCTCTGTCATTTTGGCTCCTGCTTCCTGCTGTAGGGCATCGTACAGCATGGCTTCCAATTCCAGAATGTGCTAGATAGAATAAAAACAGAAAGAAAACTTTTTGTTCATGCAGGTCTCCTTGTTGATATTTTACTTTTGTGCCACCTGCTTCTTGCCTTTTATTCTCTAGTATGTCTCATATGCATTGTTCTAACATTTGGGAAAGAAAAGGAAGGCTGTGGGTCATCAACGTGCAAGCCAAAGGTCACAGCAAAAGGAATGTAATATTCATAGGCAACTGAAAAGAAGCAAGATGTGCGCAATGCAGAGGCACTTTCCTCAAAATGCCAGCAGTTTCTCTCCCTCTATTTTGCTCATTATAAAAACACTGATACTCCACTGGAAATCATCAACTGACTGCTTCTATATGCGAAAAAACTTGCAAAGTCCTAAAAAAATCAGCTATTCATTTGATACCATTGAATGTGGGCCATTTTAAAAGGTGGCGTGTCATGTTCTCAATGTGAGATGGGTATTCTGAGCCAATCTGCTGCTTCCAGGAAGACCTGCTGTAGTGATCTTCATGGCAGCTGAAGATATCACAAAGAAATATTACATGCTAGATGAAAATTTCTGTACTGGGAGGGTCTGCTTAGCCAAATGTTTTGTTCTACCACAGGCTTTCACAGAAGAGGATGTCATTTTGCAATATTTAAATCTTCTGCACAGTGCTAATGTTGGGAACAGAATGTGAAACAAAAACATATCTCATTTCTTTAGTCCCTAAAAGCGCAATTACACATAGCTGTCAGGGTGCCGATCAATCAAACACCTCTGCCCATTGATTGAACACCTGCTTATGCCACCTTTAGTGGACCAGGAGACTCAGGGTTCTTTTAGATAGCCTCAATAGGACTGCACTGAACTCTTGCCATAGCAGAAGGATAGCCAACCTTCATCCCCAAAATAACCTCAGCGGCCCTCCTGTCTCATCTAAGTAATTTCTTCTGGAACCTCTCTACAACTTCAGCCATCCTACCATCAATCTCACAGACCTCCATCCCATAAATATCACATCTTGCCCAAGAATGTTTTCAGTGGATAAGTGGTTCTCCCATTCTTTCTCTCTGTAATACCCATTTGTGTACATTTCTCTTTTCTCATCTTCTGGACAACAAACCTTGAATGGCTCTTTAGCACATTTGTAAACCAACCAGTCCATTTTATACTTAAATAATATGTAGGCTTTGGTAGAACTAGAGAAAAATATTCGAAGAGACCAGACAAAATGTCCTCTCTCTGGCCAAAAAAGAGAGAGGGTGTATGGTGGGGAGGCAGGGTAGAGAGATCTTGCCACACAACCGCTCACCACTGTTGCTAACACTGCTGTGTATATTTCTGTGAGATAAGAATTGGTAAGGTTATGGGAGCTGGCCCTTCTTGCCTCCTTTACCATGACGTTTGTGTCTGTTTCTTGCTTATCTCACTCATTTGATGCTTTTTTAAAAGAACAATCCAACCAGCCAGATACATATGAGCAGCAAGAGGCACTAGAAAATAATGCTTCTCCCTCCACAAGTACTCTCATCAACCACCCATCAGCTACTTGATAGCTTCATGGGATTACATGCCAATAGCACAGAGAACTTTTATTCATGAAAAATAAAAACCCTCTACATCTTCTGGAAAAGCTTCTCTCTTCAACCTTCAAAGTTGAGGGAGTTATTATCTGATGTGAAAAGATTTCCATATCATGCCCCCACCCCAGCTTCTGGGGATAATATAAAGTGTGCTGTGCAGCCTTATTCAGCTTGCAATGACACATTACGGAAAGTCTGCAGGGACCTTTCATTTCACGCACCATTTCATCATCCCTGATATACGATTATGTGTTGAATAGAACTTAACAGTGAACTGTGAATGACTGATAAACTGAATTCTATCAGATGAGCGAGAGGTTGCACAGGGTTAATCTGCTATTTTGACCCACAGATAACTCAATAAATGGTGACTTCCCAGGGATCACTTTCAAGCTGTCAACCATATTGACGCAACTCCTGCCCCTTTCGAAGCACCTTGATTTGTACGAAACTGTCTTCGCATGGCTGCTGCTCCTGAACAAAGCTTTTCTCCCTATTCATTTTCTGTGGAACAATAACAACAAACCTCTTCCTCTCACAGACCTAGAGCTTAGACCAATTTACTCTGGTGGATTAAATTCCCAGAATCCTCTAATCAGCATAGCAACTGGCTGCACTTTCTTAGGAATTCCAGAAGGTGTTTTTAATACTGTTAGCTGTCTTGAGTCTCCTTATCGGGAGAAAAAACACTTTCATTGCTTTTTGGATTTATTTTTTTAAAGAAACACTGCCTAGAAAGTTCTAAAATTTGTAGGAAGCAAGTCCTGAAAATGTCAAACAGATTCTTAGAATTTTATTTTGTATTAGGTACTCCAGCAGCATCACAGCTTCTCTTTTCAAAATCATACGTAGATGTAGATCAGAATAAATATTCATGAAAATGAGCTATGCCATTTTTCTTCGAAGACTTGGTTGACCCACCTTATGTGCTTGATCTAAGGACTGCTTCCGTACTTTGGTGGATTAAATTCCCAGAATCCTCTAATCAGCATAGCAACTGGCTGCACTTTCTTAGGAATTCCAGAAGGTGTTTTTAATACTGTTAGCTGTCTTGAGTCTCCTTATCGGGAGAAAAAACACTTTCATTGCTTTTTGGATTTATTTTTTTAAAGAAACACTGCCTAGAAAGTTCTAAAATTTGTAGGAAGCAAGTCCTGAAAATGTCAAACAGATTCTTAGAATTTTATTTTGTATTAGGTACTCCAGCAGCATCACAGCTTCTCTTTTCAAAATCATACGTAGATGTAGATCAGAATAAATATTCATGAAAATGAGCTATGCCATTTTTCTTCGAAGACTTGGTTGACCCACCTTATGTGCTTGATCTAAGGACTGCTTCCTGAAATCAAGTTCATCGTCCAAATATCCCTTTTGTTTACTAAAGAGTTCCTAAGAACAGAAGGAGATTTGGGATATATTAGTTGTCTCAGTAATCACCAAGTGTGTGTCAGTCCTGTGCATGATTACTCTTTGAACTGCTTAGTGAATGCTTAGATTACCTTTTCATTTTCCAAGTCTATCATCTTTTGTTGCAATGCTGATTCCGTTACTTCTATCTGCTGCAGCCACTACACAGAGACGTGAAAGATGAAGTTCCAAGTCAGATAAGATCATTTGGCAAAAATAGCAGGCTTTGCCACTTGGTTTTTATTATTGCCTTCATGGAACATACCTGATCAGTTCAACGAAAAGCAAAAATCTCCAGTATGCCGCTGGTTTATAAAACAGAATCAACCCCCCAAAAAACCTGTTCTTTCTTTCTTTCTTTCTTTCTTTCTTTCTTTCTTTCTTTCTTTCTCTCTCTCTCTCTCTCTGTCTCTCTGTCTGTCTATCTATTTTCATTCCACCTTTGTCCTTAAAAGGACCCTAATTATCAATGTTTTTACTCCTAATATCACATTACAGCATTGCCTTCATCTCGTTAGGATGATCTGAGGTTTGGACTGAATCCTATACATGCATAAAGGTCCATAGATTATTATACACTGCAGAAGAAAATTCAGGCACTGAGTTACATAAGCTATGTAGCAAGAAAATACCTGATCAACGAAAAGCAAAATACTCCAGTATGCTGCTAGTTTATAAAACAGAATCACCCTCCAAAAAAAATCTGTTCTATCCATCCATCCATCCATCCATCCATCCATCCATCCATCCATCCATCCATCCATCCATCCATCCATCCATCCATCCATCCATCCATCCATCCATCCATCCATCCATCCATCCACATTCCACCTTTGTCCTTAAAAGGACCCTAATTATCAATGTTTTACTCCTAATATCACATTACAGCATTGCCTTCCTCTCGTTAGGATGATCTGAGGTTTGGACTGAATCCTATACATGCATAAAGGTCCATAGATTATTATACACTGCAGAAGAAAATTCAGGCACTGAGTTACATAAGCTATGTAGCAAGAAGAGCACTACTAAGAAACAGGACAATGTCCAACCTTGACTATTAGAGGAAAAGGAAGAATTTGACTAACCACTCTTATAGTGGTAACGTAAACAGGTCATAAGCAGGGCAGTGGGATGCCCATGAGATTTTGGGATGAGGCACATCCCTGTCCTAGTCCATAAAACACTCAGAAGTGGTAGTGTGGGGAAGACAACACAAGCAGGTCATTTCAATCATCATTTGTATAGGAAAAATAATGCACAGAGCCATTTTACAGATACAGTGGTGCCCCGCATAACGAGTGATTCGTTTAACAACAAATCCGCATAGCGATGTGTTTTTTGCGATCGCAAAAGCGATCGCATTGCAATGTTTTAAATGGGAAAACATCGCTTTGCGGCGATCGGTAAGCGTTTTTTAAACAGCTGATCGGCGGTTCCAATACTGAGTTACATAAGCTATGTAGCAGGAACAGCACTACTAAGGAACATGACGATGTCCAACCTTGACTATTAGAGGAAAAAGGAGAAGTTGACTAACCACTCTTATGGTGGTAACGTAAACAGGTCATGAGCAGGGCAGTGGGATGCCCATGAAATTTTGGGATGAGGCACATCCCTGTCCTAGTCCATAAGGGGAAGACAACACAAGGAGGTCATTTCAATCATCATTCGTATAGGGAAAATAATACACAGAGCCATTTTACAGATACTTTTGAATGCATGGAGGCAAAAGCAAAAACTAGCTGCACTATTAGATCCCTACTGATTGTTTTTGTGCTGTACACATGAATACCTGTTACACCAGTGAAAATGGCCTCTGAACAACCCCAGAAACAAGCAAGCAAGCAAGCAACAACAACAAAATGGTGCATTACCTTTTCTGCCAATGTCAAAACTGTCCTTGCTTGTATGACAACTACTTGCTCTTCATTTGTTAAGTTCTGCAGCAAGAGCAGAATAAAATTATTATCAGAGCACATGCATTTTAATTTTATTACTGAGGCTGCTCTTTCACTGAATGCTTAATAATGTTCAGCACTAGCAAAGCGGACAGCTCCAGCAGTGTTTTAACACAAGATCCCCCTGTTTCTCTTGTCATAAGAGAGATCCTCCATTGAAATACACTTCTGTGAGGAAAAAAGTCAGGCTACTCAAGCAAGAACCCACTACACAAGGGGAATAACTGAACAGGATCCCACCCTATAGGAATTCAAAATGCTTTTTGTTAACTGAACAATCAACAATATGAAATGAAGGGCACTTCCATTCATATGAATATTTGTGCAGATGCCTCACTTCCTTTTAAGTGTCTGTCTGGATCATGCTCAAAGAAACTAGCAAGTAGTTCAGTGGAATTTGCTTTCATGCTAAACAAGAATCCAACTGAAAATATGCGTAAGAATCTGTTACCTTTCTTTTAAAGCTCCACAAAACAAAAAAAAAATTATTTAGGTCATTTTAGATATGCCTCTATCTCACTTCTATCACATTTCATAAAGTTACATTCTCAGAAACGTTAGGAAACTTTTTAAAAAAAGCAGATAGGAACAAATGAGGAAGCTTTGAGGGGGGGAACATGAATTTTTATGATTTTTAAAAATTAAAGATAAAATAAAACAGCTGCAATGCAACAGTAAGAGAGGAAGCAAAGTATCTTACATAACCATACTGGCCTGTATGTTAAAAGCGTACAAATATTGGCCTCAAATAAAATATAAGATAAACAATGAAAGTCAATTGCAAATATGTGTGGGATTACTGTTCAATGACATCTGAACAAAAGCACAAAACATATTAACAGAAACATGCACAATTTATTAAAGGAACATACACTTACGGCGTTATCCCCTAATATGTCCAGTTTTTTCATCAACTCTGCTACTAGTATATCCTAACAAGAGAGGAGTATACAGGGAACCGAATGTCAGAAGAATAAGAAATGACACTTTGTTAAGCTGAAGCAGGACTTTGGAAAACTTGGTGCTACTTACTGTTACACCTTCTGCCTCACAATAGACCTGCAGAGGACTCTTTCCCTCAGTAAAAGGAATGTGATGAAAATTAATTGCTGGAGATCTTCTTTCTCTCTCCTACAATCAAACCAGTTATGAAGGGAAAGCACTGTTTAATTGCCAGCTTAATGAAGAATAAGAGTTCATGAGCATCTATCTCAAATACAAACAACAGTTTACGGTAAGTCAAAGAGGTAAGAAAGCAGTTATTACAATTTAGTAACTATACCTAAGAAGCAATATTGGCTCTTTTGACATGTATGCAAGACTTGTTGTTATTTAGGTACACAAATTGTGTCTGCGAGGAAACTGCTATTTGTAGCATGCTTGGTCTCAGAACTTCCTTCTCAAGACTTCTTAAAAACCTAGCAAACGTAGCTAGGAACACCCTGACTCAGGCATGTCCATTCCTTCAGTATACCAGCTTTCTGACATGCCAGACGTTGGAATGCCAAGAGGATCTGCAAGATGAACCAAGACAATGTCGTCAGTTCTGGAATCTGCTGTCAAAGATGTAATCTGAAATCTGTGTTTCTAATATGCAGTGAATGAGATACTCAAATTTTCCTATCTGTGACTGAAAAATTCCTGCAATCCAAGGACTGCTGTGGCTGCATTGCTCTCCTACAAAAAATGGGCTATCAGTTACAAATCATTCAGTACTGTGCACATTGAACCGCAATAAGAACATGAACTGCATGATATATATTCAAGCCTAGATTGCTCGGTAAACATAGAAATATAAGAGACGACTACGCCCATGTCCATGATCTAACCTTTCTCCTTCTGTCTTCGCATATGCCCAACAAGCAAACTATCAATATTTATAATTTTTGAAAGACTAAATAATTATTTTTCAATGCGTAAAGTGCTGCTGAAGTTTACTGAGATTTCACTTTGTTTTTGAACTAGGCAGAAGACACGGTGGAGCTGAAGGAAGGTTGTTGCTGCAGTACCACCATGTCATGTCCAGGGGGCAATGGACTGGCATGGTAAGTAGACACACAATCTCATCCACAATATTACTGGGCAGTGTCACTACTTGTATATTCGGACCTTTAGTAGATGTAGGGGGAAAAGTACACAGAACAGAGAATGACAGAAGCAATGCTAAAAATGCATTCATTGTGAACACCTTATATTCAATGCATGTCACAGACACCTGCTGTTTAGCTTAGCTCACAGAAAGCTGTACACTTACAGGCTGCACTCTCACATTATGATTATCTACAGTTTAGCATGAAATGAATGAAGTAGAATGATCCAAGCAATCATCAGATCTGCACACTCTCTCCACAGTACAGTGCTGCCTTCCATTGATGGTTAATCACACATTGTTATATCATCCTGACATTGAGATGTGTTTAATCTTAACTTGTGTGAACTTTCACAAGGCAGTTTTAGAAGCCACACTTAGAAGTTTGTTTCTTTTTGATGGATTGCAGTTAATGGTAACCACAATTTGCCTACCTAGATGACAACGAACTATGGTAATAATTGTGTGTCATCAAGTCGATTCTGACCCTTTCCAGGGTTTTCAAGGTGGAAAGCACTCAGATGTGGTTTACCATTTCCTTCTTCTGGGGGCAGCATGACCATGGCTACCCAGGCTGGCTTTTTTCCCCTAGAAAGCACAGTAGGGAATCAAACTCTAGTTAACTAAAAATGGAAGTGGCTGCTACTAAACTCTTTCCAACTCTAGAGGAACTGCAGACAGGGATAGGGGAGTGCAGATGCCTGAGGCTCATTCAGGCTTGTTCCAGTATGTGTACACAGCATTAAACTAGTTTCACTAGTTTCATGTGACATGCAGAGTACTCAGTACTGAGTTGTCAAAGTCTGTGCCTTAGGGAGGTCAAGCGTATGCTGTAGCCCTATATTGATCTGTGATCTCTTCACAATGTATTCATATGAACTATCATGAGAACCAACACATTATGCTAAAACTTGAAAAAATCTGGTTCATACTTACTTCAAGCTCTAGAATTCTAAATTCCAAGAGTTCATTTTGATCTTTAGCATCCTGAACCTCGTGCTTTAACCGAGCTTCTTCTGCCTCCATTTGTTTTATCTTTAAAAAAATGGAATTACTGTTTGTGTTATTTTGTCCAACACAGAGTTTTAGAATATTACTTTTGACCAAGCAATGGTTATAAAGCTGATATAATAGATAAAATGTGAAATTATAGCATTTTGATTCTCTTTTTATTTTAAACTTCAGGGGTGATACACAGTGGCCAATGAGTTGACTCGCCAAATCCCCATTGATTCAATGGACCTAATCTAGTGGGAATTTACTATGCTAAATGTCAGGAATTAGGCCAATGAAGTATCATATTAAAAAACCGCACTCGTATAGAAATTGTACTTCCTTTGTTCCTGGTGGCTGATTCTTCATAGTTTTTTTTTTAAGTACTTGGTTAAAAATGCATTCCTTGTTATTTTGTTAAACTCTGACACATACCTGCTTCATGAAATGTCTTTTTAATTTAAAATTTGTGTAGAGACATTTATTTCTTTACATTCTTTAATAGTGCATTTATGGCTACACATTTTTATGCCTCATATAGTAAAAGTTCCCCTTGACATTTAGTCCAGTCGTGTCTCACTCTAGGGCATGGTGCTCATCCCCGTTTCCAAGCCATAGAGCTAGCATTTGTCTGAAGACAGTTTCCGTGGTCACGTGGTCCAGTGCGACTAGACACGGAATGCCATTACCTTCCCACCGAGGTGGTACCTATTTTTCTACTTGCATTTTTACATGCTTTCGAACTGCTAGGTTGGCAGGAGCTGGGACAAGTGACAGGAGCTCACTCCGCTGCGTGGATTCGATCTTATGATTGTTGGTCTTTGACCTTGCAGCACAGAGGCTTCTGTGGTTTAACCCGCAGTGCCACCACATCCCCGATGTATCTTATATAGAAACCCCCAAATTATACCTTTTCAACAAGCTCTTGGTTTCTTCTGTATAATGCTTGTTTTTCTTCAATCCATTTCATATCCTTTAAAAAGAAAACATTGACATTATACATGCTGCTGGCAAGAGTTAGGAATGTCAAAAATTCCTAACATTGACAGTCATTCAAGGAAAACATATGAATGCATGGGGAGCAGGACTGGGAGTATAACTGGGCTTCTGCTTCCTGATTTAGTTGCAGCAGTTCCACACTAAAAAAGAAAAAAAATGCCCTTTTAACAGGACATAGTTTGCTTAATTGGCTCTGCTGCAACACAATTCATTTCTTCTGGAGGCTCGGACTGGTTTTGGAGTATTTTCATAAGCATATCCCCAAGTGCAGCAAGCACACACTGATTGGATCAGGAGGAAAAAAAGGCAAAAGTCTGCAAACACAGTCAGAATGAAGGATAGTGAAACACTGACTATCACTTTAAGTAATAAATTTGCCAGAATCCAAGAAGTGTGGGTAGTTTGGCAGATTGGAACCTCAAACCTCAGATGACTGAGATTAAATATTGAGCTGCCTGCACAATATATAATCCAAACAGAGCCAGGCTCTTAGAAATAAATCATGAAATTCAATTTGCTCAAGCATACCTCAGTAAATTAAACAGGGGGACAGTATATATAAGTAAGATATTTGGAATGTGTATGAAAAGTCCATTAGTTTAGAGCTGGCTTCAAGACTAATTTCAACATTCTCCCTCTTCCTCTCTCAAACCTTAAATGCAGTGGCCAGTACGCTAATGCCTGGATATGGAGGCGAAGGGAAACAATGTGTCTCATCCATCTCCAAAAGACCTCCTACTGTGTGACCAGTTGCGTGATCTCACAAACAATGCAAGAACACATAATGGAGAGCCTGCTGGATCAAGGGGAAAGCCCTTCCACTCTGCATTTTAAGCAACTGGATACTGACCTCTCCATCTACAGAAAACGACAGATTAAAGAATGATATTTCTTTGTATGCTGTTCATGTAGGCAAAGTAAAACATATGTCTTAGGACATGGTAGGTAGTCGGGATCTTGTGTTTAATAATTTGTGCTGGCTTTCTGAGAATTCCAGGCTCAATGCAATATGTTGCTGTTGACATATACCGCTCCAAATGACTGAGATCTTCATATTTGAACAGGATGGTCCTCCCTTCATGAACCACTCTGTTCTCTCAGATCTATCTTTGGAGTTTAAATTGCTGACATTGATGGTGTTCCATTTCTTGTCTACGCTCCCCACAACTGATTGGTGTCTATGTGTTTATACTTTTGGTACAAGCAAATGGCTTATTATCCCAGGATCTCTTTCTCAATTATATTCAGCCCCACTGATAATACCAATGTTACTGAGTTGCTAGACTCTGAGTAAAATGAATCTTTTTTTTAAATTATGCTTTTGCTTTTACTGTCTCCTATAACCCCCTCTGCAAACATCACCACGTTCAATCAACATGTGGGGCAGAACCTTATTAATTCCTTCTGCATGAGCAATGATCCATTTAGAGAGCATTGGAGAGTTTCTGAGCTACCAAGTAATATCTCCTTGCACGGGCTCCAAACCCACCCATTGCATGAGCAGGAGGAGTTAACAGGATTCTGACCACATCCTAGAAACTCCACACATAAGAACAGAAATACAGGCTTGAGATTATGTGTACAGGCTCTGCACACAATGAAGTTTTAGGAAGCTCTGCTTGGGCATTATACTGCACAAAATAATATTGCATGGATGAAAGAGTAGGGCAGTGCCCATGGTGATCCAGGTTCCATCCCTTGCAGGCCCTGTCCCCCTGCCCCCATAGTTGGGGAAAGTATAAAGTGAGACACTTGTTCTTACATGTGTGTACTCTCCTCTGGCATTTGGAACTCTGTGTGATCAGGATTCAAAATATCAAAGAGGAGCCTTACAACAAGAAGTCCTCTTCAGACTTTTGCCCAGCACATGGCCAGTCAGAGGGAGGCACCACAAGGGATCTGATGGTATGCAAAACTCTCCATGTGTCTAAGATTACATGGAAGATAGTGCTTGTACAGGTCTGTTAAGAGAGTACAGCATGCAAAAGACAGGGTAGAGCAGAATAGTAGCTGGAATACCATTCCCCTCTGCAAGTTGACTGAATGTGCCAAGGAGGCATAAGATGGTATTTGTTTAGGTGTTCATTATTGGTTTTGGTTTAAAATTTCTCTTTTATAAGATACTGTGAACTCCAGGTGCAAGGAGGAGGTTAAAATATTTGAAATAATTTATCATGTTGAGTAACCATTGGTTGCCTCTGCCAGAATGTTGAAACCACAGTTCAGTCTTACATACCAAGCAGAATGGAACCTTTGCAAATTGCCAGGTTCACATGTTCTCCTCTCCCCTCTTTTTGTTCCATGTGGCCAATGTGAGGAACAAGCAGCATTCAGTTTTCCTAAATCCTGATTTCTCTTTATGTGTGAACTAGGAACTGGGATTGAAAACAAACTCTAAACAAAGCAGTTGAATAGTTCAGGGTTTGTGATTAGATTGTTTCTCAAATGGTCAGAGCTGTCAGTTCTCTTTATGTTTATCTTCACTTTCCCTCAGGGTAATTTCTGGGAGGCTGTATGCTAGTTGGTGGTGGCTAGGCCCAAGCCAGTGGTGGACCAAGCCAAAAGCAGGTGTGCCTACTTCTTTTCTTTCTCTTTGCTACTCATTTCTCTCTGTTTCCTCATCTAACAAGCAGCTCAGGAAATATAAATTGCTCTTACAGAGCCCCGAACTGTTATCTACAAAAGGTTTTTGGGATAAGGCTGAAGGCTATATCAAAACAGGACAAAGAACTCAAGCCACAGGATACCACCCCTGGACTGCCGGGGGTGGGGTGGGGTGTTTCACATAAATCAGAGTTCCTGATTCATATATTGTGACTAATGAAGAACTAGACAAACCAAAACTGAGTGTGAATATATTTCGTCTCCCAGCTGTAAAGGATGATGGTGATGGTGGTGAGCAGGTGGAATCCCACAGGCTCTTTTCTGCACATGCACATAACACTAAATCATGGTTTAGTATTAAGTGCCAACCTTCCTGTTGTTTCCTCCTTGCTCTGCTGCTAGAATGAGCTTATTCTCAAAGCCATGTAATATTTATACCTCGAGTCCACATCTATCTGCAGCATATCCTGAAACGCAATCCATTTAGCTTATAGTAATGGTCTTCATAAGCTAAATTTGTTGCAGTGAAAAGTGCACTGACATAATGCATTTGTCCTGAGATTATTACCTGTCCTTGCTCAGCAAGTGCCTTTTCTAGGTCCTCTATCTGTGCTTGGGCTCTGTGGATTTCTGCTTGAAGCTGCTCACGAGTCTGTAGGATGGGATTGAAGAAACGTCAAACTTTCTCTGACAGCTGTCTTACTAAACGTACAATATTTGCTTACTTATCTGGATGGTCTAATAGGAGACACTATGGACACCCAAACATCTCTTTATCCAGATAACATGAGTGCCTGTTTGCACACAGCTGATTCACATATTGGGAAAGGGCTCTACATAATACGCTGTTTCTCCTACTGGGACACGTTTGCATGGAGATATACACTAACCTTGCCCAGCTTTTCCAAAAAACATATCAACACTGGAGACTGGGTATGCATTGAATGTAGACAGCCAATTAGTCCCCCCAAAGCCTGGAAAAGTGGTCAGACCAGTGTTGACACATTTTCTTTTTAAAAAAAACATGTTATCCTATAAATAAGAATGTATATCACTAAAAGACTGCATAAAGTACAGTATATTGCTTGTATTTATGAGGTGCTTTCCAAAGAAGCAAAACTGAATTTTAAAAGTTCATGGTAATTGATTATGAAATGCATCTCATAAAAATGTAAACGTTTGAAAACATAAACTTAGTAAATGCTTGTAGGTACTTTGCATTCAGGAATGCTGTTGAGAATTTTTACTGTAAGGCCATTTAATCTTAGGGTTTTTCCACAGAATTACTCTTTTTTTTTTTTAAGCTGATGAAAAAGGTAGGGCCGGAAAAGCTCCAGATTCAACTTCTTTGCTAATCTTCTTCAGCAGAGGAGTGGAAAACATTGAGAGTCTATAAAGCTAAGACTCATATCTGAATTGGCTCTGTACGTACATTATGTTCTGGCAGGAACAGTATGGAGAGAATATGAGGCATATTAAACAGCTGTCCCTCCCTCAAAATAACTTTTCACCAACATCTAGAAGAAAGGAGTAGTGTGGATAAGAAGAAAGAAATGAGAAGCATGCTGAAACTCATTTATGCTCTTTGAGAACTTATAACTTTCTGTACCAAATACTACTAGAGCAGGGGTGAAGAACATTTGGCCTTCTGTAGATTTTGAGCCACTCTTGAATCTCTTATCATTGGCCATGCTAGCTAGGACTTTTGCAAGCTGAAGTCCGAAACATCTACGGGTCACAGTTTCTCCACTGCTATTGGTAAGTGATCTATCCAGGAGAAGGATGGCCAACAGGAACATAGTGTGCTGGTAAAAACTGAGCCAGCTCTGTTGCTCAAGACCCACGTAAAGAGCACTCAGTGGAATGGAGCCAGTCAGGCAATTATACCTACTGTGACAGATTGTTGCATTATACCACAGGGCTAGTTTAAAAGTCTTACCAGAACCTGTAGTTAATCAGGAGCTGAGCTGCTGTATCTCAAAGTGGGACCACATACTGGAACTAACCAGTACTTGGACATCAGCATCTACCAGTTTGTCATTTCCTAGCTTCTATTGTAACTTCTTTGAAAAAAAGATTTGATTTGGACTCAGTCAGGCTAAATCTAAAGATTAGATTTGGGCTGTCCTCATCCCATTTCACCTCTGGGCCCCTGTAAGCTGTACCTGGTATTTTTTTCCAGAACCTGATGTGTCTCCTATATTAATGGGAGGATGCAGACAGAAGATGCCAATGGAAGTTCCAAATGGATTAATAGACATTTGCTTGTATAAGATGGGATGTTTGATACGAGCCCCATTGAAATCACTTCAGCTTTTTAAAAATCAACTATTTAGGGCTATTTTGTGTTGGAGGTAAATTGACAAAGAAAGAAAGAAAGAATTATGCCCCCTAAATGCACAGTTCTCTGGCTTCGAGGCAGACCTGCACAAATGTCCTTCTCACCTGCACGTGGCCTAGGGACTGCACAATTTTCACTCCTGGATTAGACAGGGTGTTAGGCTTTAGATGCATACAACTCTGCTACAGTCCCCACACGGTCATGTTGTGTTCATAAAGGATACGAAACTACAACCAGAGCTTTCATAGTTTTTAAAAATATATCTGTAACCCCTGCATCCTGATGCAACTGATGTTAATGGTGACAGAAGGCTGTGCTGAATGCTCAGGGTTTGCCCTCCAACAGAGGCATGGAAACTGCTGGTGAAATAAAATATCCCTTCCCCTTCAGTTCCTGTGTGCCTTCTACATCTACTTCAGGGGACCGAGGAGCTTTCCAAAGCAGATATGGGACTTGGTGAGAGAGGACAACAATAGAAATTCAACTGCATGAGCAGACAATCACTTGCGTAAAACGAGATGTTTGACTTAAGTACCACTGAAAACAATGCATCTGAAGTTCTATATAGGTTACTTGACTGAATATGGTTTCAGTAAAACTTAGAGCACAAATCTGATTGTGCCTACTCATATATAAGCTCTCCTAAGTTCCATGGTGCTTCCTCCCACATGGGCACAGGATTCTATCCTTAAACCGACTTAATTTTAACTACACTGTAATCTCAGTTATTTTATATATGTAAAGTACAATACAATCCTATGCATTCTGACACAAATATTATGTCTTGCTATATTCATAGGGAAGTGTGCACGGGATTGTAGCCTTTGTTAATACTACTAAATGACATCTAGCAATGCTTTAGTCTTATAAACCTAAGACAACGAAACGTTACATCAGAGGAGCTATATAACACAATTTCTAGACTCTTTGCTGGAGCTAGAAAGCACATCCTGAAGAGTGGCTATTCTTTATCAGACAGAAAGGAGTGGTTGTCTCCAGCATATAGGTAAAACTACAGAACTGTACAAGTGTTTGCCCATACATGGGAAGGCTAAAATGATGTCGCAGGCCAAGGTGTGTATGCAAGCACTACTCCTAACATTCTGAAGTGTGCTAGTGCCTCTAAAGACCTTTGCACATTTTGCACTAAGGTCTGAAGTGTTCAGCCAAATACTCTTATAAAAATCTCCTTCACAACTCACTACTAAACCCAGGGATGCATGGGGCTGTTGTGTGGGTTTGTCCCACCAAATTTTAGCCCCTGCATGAGAGGCAAGGGGCTTAAGAAGAAACTTGTCAAGGAAAATTGCAGGCCTGAGCAGAATGGAGTGTATTAATGAGAAGCCATAATGATCAGGTGTGCTGAAACTGAGTCAGGATGACTCAGCAGAGATGATGCAACCCAGGGATGAGGTAATGTGTAACCTGATTGGTTCTGTATATGTATATATGTATGGACTGTACAGTTAGTTGTATCTTCTCCTGCATGAAGATCCCATCTACTGGTTATGCTGCCTGACTGATGTAAATATAGCTGTAAATACATGTTGCTGAAGGAAATGCTGCTGGACTATGTGTGAGTTATTCCTGGACTGCCTGAACCGCCAATTACTCTGCTAAAACCATGATTTCCGCTAAGAAAGCTGACAAAACTTCATATACGTATTCTCAAAGGTTTTAACAAATACTCAACTATCCAACAAACTGCAACACAGCACAGAAAGAGTTCTGACTCCTGTCCTCTGAAGATGCCAGCCACAGAGACCGGCAAAGCGTTAGGAAGAAAAAACACAAGAACATGGCCAAACAGCCCAGAAAACCCACAACAACCATCAAACTTCATATAGTTACAAGTTATTTCACATAATAGAAGTCATTTAGACCTTAACTTCTCGTTCTGCATCCAGCGTTCCTCCAACCTGTTCTTGCAACAGCGCATACGCCCTTTGTAAAGCTTGATACTCCATTGTCAACTGTCGGAATCTTAATTCTGTTTCTTCTTTCGCCATACCCTAAGGTGCAATAATAATAATAATAACTTTATAAATCAGTTTGTTAAATCAAACTAGATACACAATTTTTTTAACAAAGCAAATCCAGTACAGTTTCTGCTATAAAACAACACTCTAGCTGTTACAAAAATGATTTTGCATATGCTGTGTGCAGAGTCATGCAGTCTCACAAAGCATCTATGATAGAATCATGTGGGCCAATTTTTATATAATGGCACGTCAAAAATGCTGAGAATTCTGGGTTATCATGGAGGAGTAAGTATGATAGTAAGCATTACTCTATCATTTCTGCTTGACTCCACCTGAGCTACTCAAACTGAGCAGCCTGTATCTATGATCTAGTTAGTGTTATGCCCAAATAAGAATTCCTGGCTTGTTGCTCTCTTAACAAACCAGAGAGATAAGCCAAGAAATACTGAAACCCTGGCTTCACGTTCCAGCTTAAATGACAAACCAGGAAATAACAAGCATAGCACAAAGCAAACCACGGGCAGACGTTTTACTTCCTGAGAGAAACAACCAAGGCACAGCACTTGCCAGTTTGTGGTAAGCCAGAATTCCCTGCAGCACTGGCTTAATATGATGTGAGAATTCATCCAAGATTTGGTAGGAAATCAAGGAAATTTAGTTAAAGTAACAAGCATTCTAGCATCTTCAAAAATAACAACTGTATTATAGTACAAATGTTTGTGAACTAGAGTCCAATGCAGTGAATCATAAATATCAAACCAATCACCAAATAAAATATTCTCAGTATAAATTTGTAAACTGTCCTTTGTTTCCACTAAGAGGGTAGTATATAAATCAAATAAATACACTTTACATTTTTCTTTAATGTATCTCTAAAAATGCACAGTCATGAAACCTGCACTATGATTGACCAACTATCCACTTTCAGTAAGAAACTGCTATGGTCTCTGTAAAATACTATAATATCACCAATGTTTTAATAACTAAATAAACAATTGCTTGTTTCAATACATGTAATATAATTACAACTTTCATCATTCATTCCTTATCTTTCTTTTATCTGACCGTGAATACTTTCAAACATTACACATGCCATAAGTTACCTCTTCTAAGTCATCATCTGGAGTGCAAGGTGTTTGATCTGTTCGGTCAGTTTGATATGAGATAGAAGAGCCATCAGATTCAAGAGAAGCTTCTTCATCATACCCAAAAAAGGTCTCCACCACTGGCTTCTGACCAAACGACAATGTGTAAGTACAAACAGCTAAAAGGCACAATGATGCTCTAACAATGGGTTGGGCAAATTCCAGGGATGAATCTTCCACCTCCCAGGACACACAGAGGGCTGCACCACCCTACAGATACCTACTTCTGGTTTTGTGTTGGGGCCTGATACCTTAAACAAGTATTTAACAAGGACCTAACACATTAAACAAGCAGATGTAATAATAAAAGAAAACTGGATTTCCTTATTACATGAATCCTCCAATGAAAATTTGCTACACTGTTAAATTAGGCATACAAAAATTGTCTTCGGTTTCTGGCTGGCCTATAACAATTTGTGAGAAACTCAAGAAGATGAAGGGTGCCGCAAAGTTAGTATTAATTATCCATCAAACTAATTCTGTTTCTCGATCACCAACAAATGATAATCAAATATTTTATTTAAACCAGACTTAATTTAAAACAAAATCATTAAAAAAAAACAGAGCATGATCCTAATCCCTGGCCATTATAATGGGATAAAATACAGGACTGGGCCACTGTGCAAGTCCATCAGTGGCTTATACCTTTATTCCACCCATTTTTCCATGTTAAATTCATTCCCTGGACTAGAAAAACACCCTTTTTCTCTCTCCTTTTTACCACCATGCAAATTTACCCTGTGGGAGAGGGGTAAATTTAACCAGGGGAAAAAGAGCTTAAGATGTATGAAATTTTATTCTCATGGGTGCCTCATGAACCAAGCTGAAGGATATCTTACCCCCAAATGTTGGGGTATTTCCTAACCATTCTGGCCATGAGCCACATATGAATTTGGCTGATAACATCTGGAAACAGGATACTGAGCTTGATGCCCCCTTAGTCTGATCCACTGAGGTTCCTCTGAAGTTCTTACAATTTTTTCTTAAAAAAAATAATACATTGCTTCTCCAGTTATCCTCTTACCTTGGGGAATTTTGCAAATTTCTTCCGTTGTTTTCTGTACCTTAAAAGCTTATCGCGTTCCTGTTGAAAGAAGTTAAGAAACACTTTCCTGAGATCCACAAACTAGAGCTGAATATGATTAATGTAACAAATGATCAGTGGGCAGAAGAAGGAAAAAATTGACTGGATGTGTGAAGTTAGAACTGAGCTTGCCATTCAAACCACACAGGTCATCTATGATGCAAATCAGAAGATTATTACAGCCATGCTAAAAATGAGTTTTAATTTTTTTTTTTTAAAAAAGCACTGTTCGTGTTTACTTTCTTGCTTCCACTTTTGTGAGCTGTGATTAAAAACTTTGTATGAAAATGGAGCTCTAAAAATGACTGAATGAATGAATGAAGCAAGTGACTGAGCAAGCGAGTAAACAAGCAAGCAAGCTACCCATAGCAGAAACTAAGTAGAACTATTTTACTATTAATGTATGAAATTAGTACACATTTCAGCTATAGTATATGATCTCATGGTGAGCACTGATAAGCACAGATGAAAAGGAAAACAAAATAAACATGCTACTCACTATTACGCTCTTCACATAGCCAGCAGTTTCCAGGGTCTATTTTAAAATAATTAAAAGAATATATTATATGTGAGTATGGCTTCATTGTTTGTTTGTTTTTAAAAAAGCAAACCCTTACAGCACATCTGCTATAATTCTACAGTTTTCAACATCTTTTATTCTCTTCTTCAGCTATGAAGCACACTAGATGGTTTATTTAGCACAGTACTTCTCAAGCTTCAGGAAACCATGGCCACTTCCTAAAAGTACTTCCTTAACTTAACCTCTACCTATTTCCACTATAAAACACAGCATCTGTCTCCTGGTCTTCCTAAGTAAAAGAGTGATGAGGTAGGATTCTAAGGTACCAGGATAAGTTTCTAGATATCAGGGTAAATCTTTTTAAATTTGCTGTCCTGTAAAATAACAACAACATAACTCCCTGTAATGGACAACAATCTAGCCCACAACACACGCCACTGTGTAAGTATCCTACTTGTAGAGACCTGTTGTCTCTTGTTTTACTTCAAACTTTAAAAATGTGATTTTCCCACCTGACATTGTACAATTCAATTTGATTCATGTAACCAATTACCAAGGCATTTCCACTTTGCCTACAACCTCATTCCTGCCTTATGCTCCTGACGGTGTAAAGGAGGCCAATGCTTATCTGGTTCTACACTTTTCCACATTTTTCTTTGTTTCCTTTCTTCTACATATTCTCCTGCCTTGCTTCCTGAAATCTTCTGTTTCTGTGGTAGAATAATTAGCATTTTCTCCAACCTCTCAGTTAACACATCCATTCTAACCTGGTCTCCCTTGCCTCTTTCATATAAAATTCACGGAGGCAACACTAAACGAGAATGTATGAAACGTAATAGCTCCAAACAGGACAGATGCTACTTTTTAAATTTAAAAATCCAAGTATTTTCTATAAGTATTAGAAGAGTACAGACCAATCTGTATCTTCACATTTATCTAATGTAAGTTGTTTTGGAAAATGTAGTGTACCTATGGAGATGCAGGCTGGGTAATCCAGCAAAGTCTGGGGGGAGGACCCAAACAATGCCAGACGAACTGTTAGAAATCACATGCTAAAATATAAACACCTATAGATAAGCTATTTCAGTCATCAGATTAGGCACAGACAATCATAAAATGCAAGTCTCCTGAAGTTGAGCCATTTTCTGAGTATAATCTGTAGAATCCATTCCTTGATCCCCGATTTCTGGTAGTAATGGCAGGATGAGTCTTATCGAACATGGTCTTAACACAGGAACATGACTATGACCCTAATTCATCTAATCAGAGACTTCTTGCCTTCCTACATCAGAACACGTCCAATGGTTTCCCTCAAAGATTATCGACACAGACTTGGTCAATGGGAGGTTGTGTGGAGATCATAAAGTAATGATCTTCTTATTAGCCATTCTGGAAGCGCAGTCTTCAATTACCTTTGAAAGTTCATCTATGATGTTTTGCTGCTCAAGGATGTGTAGCCTCAGAAATTCAATTTCTCTTTCATCTTGATTCTGGTCAAGGTCATTTAAAGAACTTGGTCTCCTTATGGTCCTTACCCTTTGTCTCTAAGATAACAGAACAAACAATGAGAGACTTTTCCAACAAGTATCACATACGTATCTTATGTATCCTACCATAATCTACCCAATGTTCCCCCTAAATAAACTCATTTCCTAAACTAACACATAATTTTGTGTGTAAGTAACTAGAGAACTAGGGACAGGGTAGAAAGCATTACATGGTGGTGCCTGGATACAAACTGTCATCATGAACAACAAACACTGTGTAGGAAATTGATTTGGTCTGGACAGTTGTGAATCCTAAGCCATGCCATGTAGTGTGAACAGCAGTCCATGTCAAATCACAAAGAGGGTGGGAGCAACCAAAAAGGTTGGTCCTGTAGCAACTATTGCAAACTATCAATCAGGAGAAGTGAATCTTCTATGTATTCTCAGCTTGTGCCTTACCTCACTTGGGCAATCACTAACATGATATATTTTACCATTATAATTACAACACAACTTTAAAATTAGGAACCTGCATTCAAATTTTGGGTGTGATTCTGATCAGAGCAAAGACTCCATAAATGAAAGCAATTTCTTCCTTGCTAGGTCAAAGGTGAGATAGCTGCATAGCTATTAACAGGTTACACATAAAGACAGAGTTCGGATCTGTTCCTACTCTGACTGATTTTAAGAAGCAAATCAAAACACATCATTTAAGATTGGCATATGAAGTTTAACTTTACTCTTTATTAATATTGATGGTGCAAATGCATTTACCGTACTTGATTTCTATGGTTCTTATCAGGTGGGATTGGCTTTAGCTGATTTAATAATTTTATAGTTAAAATTGGTTTTATTTGTTTTTACCCTTTTATGAAGTTTGTAAGCTGCCTTGGGTGCTATTTTTTAGTGGAACAGCAGGATATGTAAGTGAAAGAAAGGAAAGGAAAGAAAGATCACTAATAGAATGGAGAGAATGGTTTATCAGAGAACTGGAGAGATTCCAATATTGATGTTAGGTCCTACTCCCTCAATTGCAAGAGCAGAATGGAAAATGTGAAAGGAAAACTATTTTCAGGAAAGCTATTGTCAATTACGAGTCTTGATTGCTGAGTATTCATAGCCTATTATGGCACTTACTATACATCACAATTGTACATAATGAAAATATACAGCTGTGATGTTTTTCATATACACCTAAAGTAGTATACTGACTCCACATATATGCATAGGCTATCAAATATATACTGTATATTTGATAGCCTACGCATTATATGTGGAGTCAGTCATATATATATACAGTATGAGATAGCAATATGCTCAGTGTATGCTGAATATAGCTAGATTAAGCATATAAGTACATATAATATATAGCTCGACCTGAAAAACTATTGCTTCATGTTATTCTCTCTGTCCAATGTTACCAGTTCAAAGCTCAGCTCTAGTTCCCCACATAAAAAAGAAAGCTCAAATGTAACTTCCATTAACATTCAGAGAAAAAGAAAAAGGGAGAGAAAGTTTGGTGGACAAACAGGCAGAAGAGGAGTGGGGGAATACAAGAGAAAATCTTACCATTTCCAAATTTTCTTGTGTTACAAATTTTAGTTTATTCTCCATACGACGTAAAGTGTGGGATAAATCCTCATTCTTTCTGCTAAGGCGTCTATTTTTGTCTAGCAGGGGTTTGTACTGGCTCTCAGCTTCTCTGAGACGTTTCAACTGAAAAATTTAGAGAAAACCTGTTTTTTATTTGGAAGTAAAGACTCTACCTGTGCCTAAAGTGCTATGTATTTACGAAGCTTTGTAGTGCTGTCTATTGTGAATGCGTACTGTACACATATACAAAGAGCTAGGTACCATCCCTAAAGAGATTAATGTCAGGTTTTTTGAAGAGCTGTTTTCTCCAGCATGAGTCTCCCTGTGCTTCACGAGTGTCACTCTTGAACCAAAACATTCAGACAACTGTGTCTTTCCTACGCTTGCAACTTTTTTTCCCCAGCAACACTCCCTCCTTTGTTATGTGGAACTCTGGAATTAGATTTGCAAATGAAGCTGCTGTTTACATTTCTAAGATAATTAAGAGGACACACATGCTCCCTCTTTTAACACATTTTCTGAATTGCTTCACCACATGAGAGAGCACTCCTACACACTTCGCTCTGTATCCCGTTGCTTCTAAGACTTCTCAGCACTCAACACAGCCTTCTCAATAGCAACACCTAGGCTGTAGATTGGCCTTCCTGAGAAGTCTGGTTAACTGTGTCTTTATCAATGGAATTAACCAGGTGTTTGAATGTTTTCATTTTTCTGTTTGTCACCGAGGATGGATTTACTGTGTACCTCTGAATTATCTCAGAAATGTAAACACCTCTACTCATGAAACTACTTTCACCATTTGAACCACCCAGATGAATGGTCTCCCCACTCTTCGCCATATTGCCTTCTCCAAGGCCTATTCCAAATTGCTGAGAAACCAACTGAACTGGTTTTCCATTTCACAGAAGGCTGTAGGCGAGTGATAAGGAGAATAAAGTTCAGTTAAACTTTTTGTAAGGTACTCTCAGGGGCGTTTACAGAAGAAAACAATATACAGCATGACCCCTATATCCAAAGCGGATTGGTTCCAAAATATACCCTGGATACCTGATACACTGGATAGTAGCAAATACTATAAACAACATATAAGGGGGCAAGACAAAAGCCACAAGGGGTCATTCTTCTATGTTGCATATAGGGCAGCAGCAAACTGAAACCGCGGATACCGATCCCACAGATATGGGGTCCTACTGTAAATCTTTAAACTCAACATGGATCTCATGTCACACATCCTGAAGAGAGAGTAAAGAATGAGTTTGGGATCCATTTGGAATGAGAGAATATCCCTCACCATCCAACACCCCTCTGTTCCTGATCACCAATTGCACATTTGCCTGAAACAGTTGCTGAAATCCAACAGAAAGTCACAGCTAACTCAGTGGGCCTACTCTAGTTATGATTTGTTACTGAATTTCAGCCAGTTTATTCATCTGTCTGACACTAGATTAATTATTCTCCATGCTGCACACTTCAGTAATTGTGGGTTTAGGTTTTTAACCCTTATTTTTTTTAAAAAAAAACCAAAAACGTATTGAAATAACAAAACAAAATATAACAAAATATTTGGCATCGAACGTGACATGTTTAATGTGTTTTTTAAAAAATTCCTGTGAGTTAAAATGCACATGGGAGGAGTTTGAATCCACAGTTTCCTTCACAGTTGATGGGTTTAGTTGCTCTTGCTTAATATATACAATCTGACTGCAACCAAACAAGGCCCCTCACCTTCCATTCTCAGGGAAAAAATCCCGCTAGATGATATATGGCTACAATACCATCTTTTTCAAGGCATGCTTACCTTGTTGCTTCATGAATGAAATATACTGTGCAGGATATTCAGTTACAAACCTGGAACACTCTTCAGGAAATAGAAAAGAAGCCAGAAGTGTCTTAGCTGCCAAGGCCCACAATTGCTTCATCTAATATGCAAACCCCATAGCCAGCAGCCGATTATACTGCAGAACTGCTGCTCTAATGTCCTCTATAAATTTAATCTATATGGATTTTTCCAACATGCCAAGCTTTATTGCCCTAGCTCTGAGAAATATATGCTTTGCCACAGCAGCTGCCATTAACTAGCCTTTAAACAGAATTTTATAGGGCTGTGGCAGTGCTTTGCACTTTGAAGAACTAAAAGAGAAAAGATGTCAAGAGTGGTACTGCATACAATCCAATAGGATTGCATTGGTGAATGCTAACCTTCAGTAATCTTATTTTTATAAAAACTGGGAGGGAGGTTCTGGGGGGTTGTAGTCCACAAAATAACATTTCTAAGCTACAGCCCAACCAAATTTAAAGAGAGTATAGTATATGCTTTGCTTCAGAGCATGATATAACCCAAATCACTGGAATAATAATAGTTTCAACTACAGTGGACCCTCTACTTAAGGAATTAATCCGTATTGGAACGGTGGCTGTAAGTCGAAAAGTCTGTAGGTCGAATCTCCATTGACCTACAATGCATTGAAAACTGATTAATCCCAGAACTGGCAGTTTTTATTCTATTTTTGTTCCATTTTTTTTCCTGGTCTGTAGGTTGATTCTCTGGCTGCAAGTCGAATCTAAATTTTGCAGCCAGAGAGGTCTGTAACTCGAAAAGTCTGTAAGTCGAGCCGTCTGTAAGTCGAGGGTCCACTGTATTAGATTCCACACACCATTCTTTATGTGTGGGCTTTGTTTTTTTTTTAATTAATGACTGAAAGAATATTTTTTATTCCAAATTGGACTGATATAGTGATTCTGTTAACCAATTCTTTTTTTAAAAAAACTCTTATAGGTGATAAGAAGGAGGATGCATATAATTCAACAAATAATCTCATCTTATTTGCATGATAGCTCCAGGGAGTTGTAGCCACACTGAGCTGGGAATGGTGGGAGCTGTAGTACAAAACACTAGATCTATTGAGGAAGTGTTGTTGAAGAGTGAAAAATGTCACTTTTTGTTATATCAGAGTACAACAGGGTAGTTGAATCATAGAGCTGAATGGTATCAGAAGGTATTTTAGTCCATTTCCCTGTTGATGCAGAAAATAAATGCACAAAAATGTATATATATTCTACTCAGAAGTGGCTTTATGAAAAAAACAAAGTATGTGCTTTCTTACAAGTTCATTCCGTTCCTCTGACAGCAATGCATTCCGATCTTCCAGCTTCCTGATGATTGCACTTAGTTCAGCTATTTTAAGTTGGAAACGCCGAGCATCCCTTTCATCCAACTGCTGTTCCTAAAACAAAAAATACCTGCAAATAACTGTTCACAGAGGAAATGTATTCTACAGACCCAGTCCTAATGAATTATAGAAAGAATGTAATCTATGCCTTCATGCTGTAAAAAATGAGACCAACAAAAAATTAAGAAAGGAGATATGTAAGAGAGGGGGCAAATGCAAAAAAAAATTAAAAAGAAGTATGTGTATGCAAGTTCAAGAGTCACAAATGTTATACTCAGAAATATGAAAGAAAACATTGAAAATTACTGCAATGTTTCCTATATATATGTGCCACTGTTGAATTGATTGCTTCAAACAACTGAGTCATCTACAATTTTCTCATGGTAGTATGATATTTATATATATATATATTGACATATAACATGTAATAGGAACGTGCAATGTTACCATTGCATATGCTGTTCCGCAAAGGACATGTAGATCTGTACATCTAAATGATCACTCAAAAAATCACAGGATTGGGTCTTAATCAATCCATATGTGAAAATGTTAAACTTAGGTAGAAAATGAATACAGCTATAAGAGCGGGCATCTTCATATTTTAAGAAAACAATTTTATTTTTCCCCATTTTTGCTTAGCTTAATTTCTTTGGAAACATTTATAAATACCCTTTAAATTCCAGCAAAGAAACTGATATATTTCAGTCTAATGAAAATTAACGGTGGTGCTAGGATTTCTTCATTCAACAGGTGCAGGAGAGGCTTAGAACAGAGGACAGAAAGACTTTGTGCTTATGTTTTGAGGAAAAATCTACATTTCAAATTAAGCAGCACTACAAAAGATATCTTGATGAGGATCAACAATGAAAAGAAGTTTAAAAAATACCACAGAAAAATCACTATTGTTAGCAAATCAAGACAGAAGCTGGAAGAGTGGCATATTACACAGAAAGCTAGTGCAGGAGGTGAATTTAGATTTAATGGCATAAGAGATTGCACAGTATGAAAGAAATAGCAAATAGAATGTTAGTTGACATATTATCCACTTTCTAGAAAATGTTAACTAGAACCAAAAGCCTTAATCAGTACTCAAGGGCTGGCGAAAGCCATTTTGCAGCCAAATAATACAATGCTTCAATGTATTTTCAAGGCCGGGATCCGATGGTGGTTGTAGGTTTTTCAGGCTGTTTGGCCGTTATCTGGAGGTTTTTCTCCCTATTGTTTCGCCAGTCTCTGTGGCCAGCATAGCTAACTCCATTCCTCTGAAGATGCCGGCCACAGAGACTGGCGAAACGTTAGGAAGAAAAACCTGCAGAACACGGCCAAACAGCTTGAAAAACCTACAACAACCAAATACAATGCTTCCCTTGCATGTGCAAAACCTGACTGGACTGGCAACAGCAGGGTATAGGGCAGTGGTTCTTAACCTTGGGTTACTCAGGTGTTTTTGAACTGCAACTCCCAGAAATCCCAGCCAGCACAGCTGGTGGTGAAGGCTTCTGGGAGTTGCAGTCCAAAAACACCTGAGTAACCCAAGGTTAAGAGCCACTGGTATAGGGTACACAGTTCTGTCCTCCAGCCCTTCATTATTATTCCTCATCCTCAGCATTTGCCTTTTTGAGGCAGCTCTCTCACTCTACCGAGTGGTAGGGATGATCCTGCCAGTGTTTCACTGATACTGTATTAGTAACAATGCCTAAAAATCATGCTGGAAATGGGTGTTCATTGATCCTCCCATCCCATTACTGAATTATCTTTTGTGGTTAATTACAACATGACTGGTAAGCAGCCCTGGAAATTAGCCAATTGCCATTAGTTATGCATTTTCTTAATGAAAGAGCATTTCAAGCTGCTACGTTAAAACAAATACTCAACATAAGCTGAAAGTAGAAATGTTTACCTGCTGGCAAAACAAAACAGAAGCCCAAGCTGTTGCATGACCAAATTATAAATCCTAATAGGTTCCCTGGCATGGCTACAGAACAGAACAGAAACAAAACAAAAGCCTCTTGCAAGAAAGTGCACTCACTCATCAAGATTTTGGCATAATTTATTTTTGTTGTTTTAGGCAAAACCACTAGAAAGTGCTTACAGGACTTCCTGAATGATCTGAAGTGTCTCCTGCACCACTTGCATGAGGAAGTTCCCGCTTGGGGCTGCTCAGATGCCGGTCAGCCTCTTTGAGCTGGGAAAGTTGTTCATCTAAAGCCTCCTTTTGGAGCTGAAGTCTCTGAGCCTGCCCGGCTTGAACCCCTAACTCTCTTTCCAGCACGTAGACTGCTCTGTCTTTAAATTTGATCTCCTCCATCTACAAGGAGAACAAAACACAATCACACACATGCATGCCACACCGTACAGTCCTCTGGCGTCGCCATAGCAACGGGCAGCATCCCTGCCAGGGGAACCTTTTGACAGACTATATACTAAGAGGTAAAAATGGATCATACTCAATTTTGCTGAATTTACAGACTTTTAACACTGTAAAGCAGCACCAGTTATAACAAATTAAACACCATTTTAAAAAGGTAATACTTTGATAATGATTAATTCATATGGATTATCACACTTTTTGTCTTTGACATTAATACCACTCAGGAAAGAAAATAACTTTTCACTGGATAATTGCTTTGTCCATTTGAGGTACCTAGTCATTAAACTGAAAACACCTCATTTGTTTCATAATTGAAGACAATGGGAGACTTCACTTGGTTTCAGTGACCTTTTAATTAGATCTGGAACTCAGTACTACTGGTATATCAATGAAACATAGTTTTTATCATAGTCTGAGAACCTGGATTCTGTAGCTCATACAATGCTTGGTGAACAAAGGATTACAAAAAAACCTACTATGTTATGTCCTACACATATTTCTTCAATCTTAAATTGGAGCAAATAATTTATATCCACATAAATATTGGCCAAAATGCTGCTGCATGGCTACAGAAGTGAAACTCAACCTTACGTTCACAGTAGTTACAATCACGTCAAGGCAGAACTGTGATTTACAAAGCACTTCCCTTAGTACATTGTGCAACTGGTCGTAATGGGAACAGCACAACCAATAGAGCAATCAAATTGCGCAATCCGCTCTGCCTAGACATGACTCCTGCCTAGCTTTATGCTACTCTTTGTTGTTTGCAGCGACATCAAAATAAAAATTCCTTCTTAACCAATCTTCATCATGGCCGTGGTAGACTGAAGGTCAACCTATAAATTACAGACCGTATGCTATTAGAAGCTGACATTGCATTAACTTCTGAGAGATGTGTTTCGGCCAGACTGTTATGCCTGAGCAAACAAGCTTACAAATATAGTCTGTGATTACCTCCTGAGGATAATAAATAATAAAACAAAGTCAACTAATTTGCAGACTACAGGAGGTATAAAAAGCTCCTGCTGTGACAACCAAACATCTTTTAGCACTTAAAAAATTCCCTCTTCTAATGATATGTTGCCTGTAATCTATAGTTTTATCCTATGTTTCAATGAGTTAAACAGGGCTACATTAGTGTTTGAAGTTATTATATACATTATACAATAACCCTTACAACAATCCATGAAAGGATGTATGTATTATTGTTACTACTATATTATGGAGGAGGCCTGAGTCCCAGAGAGACTTGAAGTTACCTAGCATCAAGATCCGAGTCACAAACTTCCTAATTCACAATTTATAGTGCAAATGTGCACATCTACTCAGATACAAATCCCACTGTGTCCATTGGGTTTTACACCAACATAGAATTATTACCTTATGGGTATAGGCTCCTTAGTCTCACTGGCCTAAATACATTGTATGCTTCATCAGCTGGGAACTACTAATGAGATTAGAGCAGTATGGGAGTATCTATCCTTTCTCTCCTCTGCTATGATCCTGAGGAACATATTTTCTCTGAAAGTAGTTTGCACTATAAGGAAATCCCCCCACTTCCTCCTCTTTGTGATCTCATTAATAGCCTCAGCTGATGCCATCTATTTTTAAATAAACAAATATATTTAAAAAATCATATTAGACAGGACTCATCCAGCATCATTTGTAGCCTCACCTCTAATCACTATCTTCAACTGGCTCTTGTATAGAATATTGCAGGCAGAGCTGACATAAACCTGTTATAAATCCAGAGTCCAAGAAATTCAGGATATTTGAAATTGTGAACAATAATTTCCCTCCCAACATGTATAGCAGTATTGCTTAGAAAATAGTTTCTCAGGAAACACACTGCAAATTATCATTTCTATGAGCTTCCAAAGTTTCATAAATGTATTTCTGAGATATTTGATCTTTTAGAATAACTGAAATAATATTTGAATGTTTCAAGGCTTTTTTGCTGGCCAGAACTGAAATTCTGATACCAATACTTGTGTCATTTTAGACAAGTATCGGTTGTTTTTATTGCACAGAAACCAAAGCAGTAAAGGATTTTTTTAAAGTCACTTATAAACTCAGTAAAACTAACCACAATATACAATTGAATATCAGTAATTTTAGACAACATTCCTCTGAGAAAAAGGTGAAGTTAAACATTTTCCCCAAAATATTGTAGAAAAGGACATTCTTGACAATATAAACCTCCTACAGAACCAGCAGAGTGAGGTGGCCACTACATCTATGTATCACAAGAGTACTCTATAACAAATGTTGAGGTATTTACTTTATTACCAGTATGTTTCTGCTGTCAAGGAAGAAAAGAGATGTCGTTATGATTCTCTGCCTGAAACACCACAGTAAGGGGAATCTTTCTGGAAAGCCATCTTCATTGCTATTCACTAGAGGTGTGTAATTTTTTTTGTTCTTATTATTTGGGCTCTAACTTCCACAATTCCCCAAAAATCTTCCAGGCATTCCTGCCCAGTCACATACTTACAGAGACCTTCACACATCTATGTTTATTTCACTCACCTGGAACAGGCTGTCTGGAGTCTACTTCCTGTACATAAAGAAAACTGCTCCAGTGCTTCGTTGGGAGATCTGCATGGGAGTTAGAGTCTCACCGTCCGTTTTCCTTTATTAAAAGGCTTCTCCAAAGAATGATACGTACTTGCCACAGAGACCTAGGCCTCCCAGGAAGCACTGTGGCAGTTTCCTTTTTATAAAGCATATAGGATTTGTCTCCAGTGTGGAAGGGATTGTCACTCTCGAATTGGCCTTCTCAGCCACACAAGACACTGTTCCAAGACCTCCATACAGAGCACGATACCATAGTCTCTTGAGACTGAAGGATGCCTACTAAATAGGACAAAGACAGCCTGGAAGAGACCCTGTTTCAGGCGAGTGAAATGTTGGTGTGTGCAGGTGTGCATCTGTGGGTAGGAACTCCCAGAATCCTACTCCAAGCAGAATTCAGGGAGCTGAACTAAACAAATAAATTAGAATAGCACATTCCTGCTGTTCATTCCAAATGAGACAGCAGTGATGGATCATCTGATTAAAATATGTTTAAAATCTGGATATTCATTGAGAAGATAAAGATGAATTCTGAATTTCACATTTTTAAAATCATTCTGCTTTTACTGACATGTTCAGCACGGTCATGCAAGAGGCCCCTGGTGGCTGCTCCCTGGCTGCATGTGTAGCCCATGGTCCATGTATTTTCTTCCCCTTTTATCAGTACTATAAACTGAACATAAATTGTAATGCCACTAGAACCTTCTCAGTCACCTGAATTACACATAATTGGTGTGATATATTTGTATTCAGCATTGGTGTGGTAAGGAATCTCTGGGCTTTGAAACACACTATAATCTATACCAGCATCTTATTGCTCTTGTGGATTCACAGTATGCTCTGCATTCATTAAAGAAATTGAATTAATATATTTGATTTAAATATATTTGTTGGTTCTTCAGTCACTACATAAAGAAGCTGGGCCGACATGTGGTGCAGGGCATTTAAGCAGTTGTTTCCACTTACTTATTTCTAGCTCTCCATAGCATTTCCATCAATTTGATAATGAGCTGTTGAAAACCAACGGTACAGTCTTCGAGAGTTGTTCCTGCTGTACCTCCACTGATGCGGTTTCACAGATATACAGTTAGTCTCCAGTGATTTCTCCTTCAAAAGGAAGCAGAACCTAGGTAGGGCTGCTCCAAGAACTGTTCTACAGGTGTAATAGCTGGGAGCACATAACAATACTGAAAAGAACACTTCTTAAGAAATCTGGTAATTTTAAAACACTTCCAATCTGGACTACACTTCTCCCTTCAGCAATGCTGGGCTTAGGGGTGCAGGAGCCCTGTGTAGTTCAAAATCCATGTATAACTCTTATGCCTCCCCAACATAACTACAAAGCATAAGCAGTTGATTCTCTCTCTCTCTCTCTCTCGCTCTCGCTCTCTCTCTCTCTCTCTCTCTCTCTCTCTCTCACACACACACACACACACACACACACACACACACAGAGAGAGAGAGAGAGAGAGAGAGGGAGGGAGGGAGGGAGGGAGGGAGGAGTCTATTGTATTAACTGTACAGCATGCCCCAACACCCTCCCCAGTTGCCACGTGGAGCCAACAGGTCAGAAGAGGGGATTGGCTGAGCCATTTCCATCAGACCAGGAACTGCCTCATCAACAGTGCTAGTAGTGCTATGGGGCGGTATATAAGTCCAATAAATAAATAAATAAACAACAGGGGCTTCAGTAAGTCCAAGACCCATATTTTTCAGGCCATTTCTTGGAGATGAATCGCAGCACAGTATTTATTTGTGTATTTAGTGACAAAAAATCTGTGTATAAACAAAACCATGCTGCTCAAACCTATGCAGTTTAAAGTAAACAAATAATGAATGCCAAGTTAAATCCCAGCCAACATGCATCTCCTTGTCACACACTGTCACCGGCTGTTAGCCCTCCCATTCCCTTTGCCACATACTTTATACCTGATCTGCAGACAAGACACTTATAGGGGATATTTCACGCACATGCCAGGAGTATTTTCTTTTTACCATCTGCATACATTATGGAAAGATCCTTGGCCATACTGCCCTCCCCACACCCCCAGGAGCAATGGTTTTGTTTGAATATACCCAAGAGAAAAGATCAAAGAGGAATCTCTTTCAACCCCTGTGCTTCAGAAAACAAGACATGAAGAAGAATGGGGGTGGGACACTTCATGCATCATAACTTAACTACCAACTGACTGGTAGAAATCTTATATATGATTAGATTATTGTAATGCACATATAATAAAAAAATTAATGCACCAGAAATATTGTAGTCTACTATAGGTTATCAAATAACAAAGAACTAACTGGTATGCATTTCTCCTGAACTGTATATGCATGCTATAACACAGATATACCTATAAAAAGGG